CTAGAAATTAGACATGATGCACACTAATGCCCTGGAGGTCACTGCAGCCAATATATATTGACCATCTAACTAGGTCTAGTAAAACGTAATATTTGGGGTCTTCAGTGATTTGCATAGAAACTAATTAAACTGGGCAAGGTTTAGAGTTCATTTCTTTGCCCTTTAAACCAGTGTTTCTCAAATCATGACCTTCAAGCGCTGAAAATATTTAAAGAAAAATCCCCCACTCCCTGCACACCTTTACTTTTCAAGGCCAAGTATTCTGTCAAGCTCTCAAGCACACAGATATTAGATAGGCTTGTTATATTGATATTCTTTTAACTCAATTTTATAGTAACTGCCGGGGTGAGTGTGTGAACTTTTTTTACTTCAAATACCGATTTGCCATTTTGAAACAGTTGAGAAGCACAAGGAGGAGATGCTAGTCCCAATTTAGGACTGGGTTACACATAGCTGTTCAAGAGGTTGCTGTAGCTGTGCCATTAATAGTAACACAATTTAAGTTCAACGCTTTTGGAGGAGGAAAGGTACCAGGAAACTTATGTGATGTCAGTACTTTGCCTCTATGACAGGCAGAGGTTAAGAATCATCAATTTTCATCATGGTAAAAGTTAAACAGCAGGATGCCTCAAGGTTCTGTGTTAAGGCTGGAGTATATTGTGTAGTACATTTCACAATGAAAAAAGTGTGAACGGTATGGTGGCAAGACTTGCAGATGACACAATTTAATTAAGTAAAGACTGAAGAAAACGTGAGTAACATCAGAGGGGCCTAACAAAGCTAAGCAAATGGACAAAACAATGGCAAATGAAACTCAATGTTGACAAATGCAAAGTTATTCACATAGAAATAGTGTGAACTACATATGCCTAACTGTTTTCTAAATTAGCTTTGAAACTTGGGGAAAAGATTTGGGTATCATTGTGGACAGCTTAGTGAAGACCTCTTTATGTGCAGCAATGGTCAAAAAAGCCAACGGTATCTGGATACATTAAACATTGGGATGAGAAATGATGTGGAAAATATTACATCATTGTGTAAGTCAATGGTATTCCCTTAGCTGGACTTATTACTACGTTCAGTTCTGGTCAGTGCTTTGCAAAAAGGATATTGCAGTAATGGAGGGTGGGGTGGGGAGCATACAGAGATGGGCAATAAGAATTAGACATGGAAACACTAGTAAAACATAGTAATGGAGTGAAAAAAAGATTGTTTAGAGATGAAGAGGGGGCATGATAATTAAAGAAAATATTGGAGCATATAGAGAAGAGAGATAGGCACTACTGTTTACCCTTTCTCATAATCAAGCACAAGGGAACATTCAATGAAACTGAAAGGTGACATATTTAAAACCATAAAAGCAAAATGCATTCTGGCAATGTACAGCTGACCTGTGGAACTCATTGCCATAAGATCACTGTCAAGACTTTAGCAGGATTCAAAGAAGGAGTAGACTTCAGTATGTTAACAAGAATATCCAGAATTCTAATAGTAAAAATTTTTAAGAAGCCCAGGAGTTTTGGAAGAGACATAATCCAACTTCTAATAGTGGGGTTCAGGAAACAACTCTGTTTGTGGGCAAGTTATTCCATAACTGCCTTGTTCCATGATATTTTGTACCTTACCCTGCAACAGTTGATACTGACCACTACCGGAGACAGGATACTGGGGTAGGTGGACCACTGGTCTGATCTAGTGTGGCATTTCCCATCTTCCTGTGTTGTAAATGACCCAAGCACTTTATATCAGCAAAAGTGCACATTACTGTGGGGTAAATATAAGGAGAGAACATACACCATTGGCGAAGAGGAGGGTTTGTGATAAATATAAGCTATACTTGAAAACTAATAAGGATTTAACTGCTCGACAATGTCAATGTCTGGGAATCCAGAAAAGAGATTTTAGTTACTACTGCTACTAGAACTTGTAGGTCCTTAGCCCTTTCCAGTAAAAAGAAATGTTCTAGAATTCCTGCTTCTACAGGGGAATACTTCATCATAAGCGTTTAGAGCCAGCATTTTAAAAAGTACCTTTAAATTACTAAAAACGTTGTCTGGTCTTGTCTATGCAGAAAAAAGATGCAGATTTAATTAAATTGGCTTAGATACTGATTTAGTTAAATCAGTGCAATCCCCTTTAGTAGTGGACACTTGGTTCAATTTGAGAGAGCCCCTATTGACTAAGCCCTGGTCTACACTACGAGTTTAGGTCAAATTTAGCAATGTTAGGTTGATTTAACCCTGCACCTGTCCACACGACTAAGCCATTTTAGTCAACTTAAAGGGCTCTTAAAATCGATTTTTGTACTCCTCCCCGATGAGGGGATTAGCGCTAACATCAACATCGCTGGGTCGAATTTGGGGTAGTGTGGATGCAATTTGACGGTATTGGCCACTGGGAGCTATCCCAGAGTGCTCCCTTGTGACTGCTCTGGACAGCACTTTCAACTCGGATGCACTAGCCAGGTACACAGGAAAAGCCCCAGGAGCTTTTAAATTTCATTTCCTGTTTGGCCAGCATGGTGAGCTCATCAGCACAGGTGACCATGCAGTCCCAGAATCGCAGAAGAGCTCCAACATGGACCAAACGGGAGGAACTGGATCTGATTGCTGTATGGGCAGATAAATCCGTGCTATCAAAACTCCATTCCAAAAGACGTAATGCCTATATATATATATGCCAAAATCTCCAAGGGCAAATGCAAGGTGTTTACAATGCTCACAACTGTAGCAGTGATTGAAGCGGGCTCCCAGTTGCAGTGCTATGGCATATGCACGGGCAATCCAGGAAAAAGGGCAAGAAATGATTGTCTGCCATTGCTTTCACGGAGGGAGGGAGGGAATGGTTACTGACGACATGTACCAAAACCACCCGCGGCTAGCTTGTCCCTTATCTCAATTTTTTTTAATTAATAAAGAAAGAATGCATGGTTTCAAAACAATAGTTACTTTATTTCGAAGGGGGGAGGGTGGTTGGCTTACAGGGAATTAAAATCAACAGAGGGGGTAGGTTTGCATCAAGGAGAAACACACAACTGTCACACCGTAGCCTGAAACTGGTTTTCAAAGTCTCTCTGATGCGCAGCGCGTCCTGCTGTGCTCTTCTAATCAGTGTCTGGCTGCTCAGAATCGGATGCCAGACGATTTGCCTCAACTTCTCACCCCGCCATAAACGTCTCCCCCTTACTCTCACAGATATTATGGAACACACAGCAAGCAGCAAAAATGAGGAACAGCGCCAGCGAACTTTTAAACGTCCAAACGCTCATTCTACCACCATTCTGCACTTGCTCAGCCTATAGTTGAACTGCTCCTTACTACTGTCCAGGCTTCATGAGCAATGGGAGCAAGGGGTAGGTTGGGGTAGGTGCGACTGCGCGGTGCTGCTGGCTGGGAGAGCAGCCTGAGGCAGAAGCCTCCAGCTCGCAGGAGATCAGGATAGCAGAGTTGCAGCGGAAGCGGTGGAGCGAGCAAAACACCGTTGATGAGGACGGCTAGCAGTCGTACTGCACCGTCTGCTGTAGAGTTGCAGCGGAAGCGGTGGAGCTGTTCACCATTGATGCAAAGGCACCCAGGAGCTGGTGCTGTGTGGCCAAGGCAAAAGAGCAAGAGCCCTGGAGCTGTTACATGTGGAATGTGTGGCTGCAAGATTTCTTCACCAGTGACAAAGGACAGGAATATGATGCACCTAAAATCTAAAAAGGCCCACACGTTTGCCAGAGTCACTACCCTTGATAACAGAACGTCAATGATTGCATTGGCTACTTGGATCACAGCAGCCCCCACAGTAGACTTGCCCGCAACAGTAGTGGTGATGGTGAGCTGAGCGAGCTCCCGCTTGCAGTGCTATGGCGTCTGCGCAGTTAACCCAGGAAAAAAGCTGTGAAACGATTGTCTGCTGTTGCTTTCACAGAGGGAGGGGCGACTGATGACATGTACCCAAAACTACCCGTGATAATGTTTTTGCCCCATCAGGCATTGGGAGCTCAACCCAGAATTCCAATGGGCGACGGAGACTAAGAACTGTGGGATAGCTACCCACAGTGCACCGCTCCAGAAGTAGATGCTAGCCACGGTACTGTGGATGTGCTCTGCCAACTTACTGTGCTTAGTGGGGATGCACGCAATCGACTGTATAAAATCGCTTCTGAAAAATCGACTTCTATAAAATCAACCTAATTTTGTAGTGTAGACGTACCCTTAGTTTATCTGTAAGGTATAAACTTAATCGACATTTTATAAAACACACTTGAAACCAAATAAGTGTCCACTGTGCAAGAGGTCTGCACTGATTCTGATTTATAAACCAATGTAGTCAAATAGTACAATTTACCATTTAGGCCTTGGCTACATAGAAATTTTAATACTATGGTCTATTACTAAACCCTATTCTGTTCAACTTGCACTGGAGTTTAGAACAGGGAGAGAGCTCTAATGAAATATAGGCTGCTAGTATTTTGTTCACAGCCACAAATACAGTTGGTCAATGTGCAGATTGTAAAAATAGATGCCACTGCTTTCCCTGTGGTGGCTGTGCCTGGCCATAGGGAATTCCTGAATTCTAACCCTGCTGCTGACATTCCTATTGTGACAATGAGCAAGCCTTGTAATCTCTTTGCCTTGGTTTCCCTAGCTCTACAATGGGAAGAATACTAGCCTCTCTCTCAGGGGTGGGGTGTAAGTAGGCCTAATGTTTGTAAAGTGCTTTGAAGGAGAAAATCTCTATGTAAGTGTGAAGTATTGTGAACTTGGTTGACACTCCACCCAGAAATGTTCCCTTTACCAAGTGTAGGGTAACACCCAGCTTGTTTCCACGTTACACATACCATCGAACACGTCTTCAGCTTCCCATGCAACCAAATGTTTGGTTTTAATAATCCATTTCTGTCTAGAATGCCTTTTTTAGATCCCTCCCCCTTTCATTACATTTTCACCTTTCATATTCTGTCATGCTGAGACCTTTTTTCTTTCTTTCCCTCTCTCTGTCGTCTTCTCTACCAGCTGTCTGCAGCATCCAGTCCTTCCAGTCAGAGTCCTCACAGAGCCTCAGGAAAGGATCCCTTTGCAGAGCTCTCTCTCCAGGATTTCTTGTAAAACAACTTAGGTATTGCTCACTATTCTGGGGAGATGGTGGTTTTTATAAAGTGAAAGATCATTTAAAGAGACAGTTCTGTTTCCTTTTTATATTTTCTTGGAAACAGATATAGTTCTGTAGTGGTATTCATTAATACACTAAACAAATTAGTGTCGCACTGGGGGCATTGTGGAAGTACCCAACTGATTGATGTACTCCTGGTAGGTGCTTTGTTAGACATGACCTATTTTCACTGCATCTACTATAAGGGCAAAACCAGGAAGAATCAGTTACAAAACACATCACATTTGACGCTTGCCAGGAGCTCCCTAATCTTGCAGAACTTTTTTTTCTTGGAGCTTACAGAGCCAGTTAATTATATATGTTAGACCCACATTATTGTTGAAGGAGTTTTATAGTATATGACTGGAAATCGTGAATAACATGGTTTCTTCTTCAAGTGATAGTCCCTATTGTATTCCACTGAGGGGTTATACGCACGTGCCATGCACTCAGTGTCAGAACTTCTGAAAGTAGTACTGTTCGGCGATCCACACATGTGCCCTCCTCCAACTCGTGGTCTTGCCTGAGACCGTAAAGGATACGGTGTGTCACCAACATTTCCAGTTCCCTCTCACCGCCGCATGGTCCAAATCAGAGCTTCTGCTCCTGTTGTCTTTGTGATGCACTTTTCAAAACTATCCTTGGTACTCTTAGTAGTTTAGATTTCTTAGTTGTTGTGCATTTACTTTTTGTTTTCTGTTCAATTCTTCCTTTTGTACCTGATTTAGGACTTGGGATGCAGCTTCAGCAATGTTTCCTGTTAAACTTTTCCCTCCCCCCACCTCCAGTACTCGAGCCTGGGTATGGGATTATGCCGAAGATGCCAGCATTCAAAACCTGTGCTTCCTGCCCTTGCTCATTTTCCATCAGCGACGAGCATCAGCACTGTTCGTACTGCTTGGAGGAAGCCCACATCGTGTTGAGGTGCAGTATCTGCCTCTCCTTTCCTGCTTGTACTTGGGGAAAACTGGGCTCTCCATCTCAAGAAACACCTTATGGAGTCTGCCATGGGATTGACAGCAGATCCTGGCCAGGGGACGAAGAGTGCCTCCTCTGCCACAGAACCCCCATCAGGCTCTGTAGTACCAGTGCTAGGGACCTCATGCCGGGGCCTAGATGTGAACAAAGGAAGCAAGCACATAAGCATGGCAGTAAGTCTTCCTCCAAATCTAAGAAGGATTCAGCACCATCCATGAGTTCTGGCCATGAAGGATCCATGTCTCACAAGAACAAGAAATGGCCGCCCTGATCACTGGATCCATAAGTACCGATCATAGACCCGGTGACTCTGCCACCGTCCTGCAAACCATCCATCTCCAGGCACTTGCTCCCAATACTGATTCCTCCAGCGGAATGGATGCATTGACCCCATGGAGACTCAGAGGCACTCTGAGTCCCCACGAGTTATTCGCACTGAAGGGACTTCCATGTTCACGACCACCAATCAAGTCACGAAGTTGAAGGGTCCCTTCACCTGTTATGCTCCTGCTGACTCCCATTCTGACAGTCCTGATTGCACCGCCATTTGGTGAGGTGTCTGACTCCTGATTCGGATGATACGGATGTCCAACACAGTCCACCACTCCCATTCCAGAAGCGTGACTAGCGGAAGCTTCCAATGGCAATGCGTTACCAGCAGAGTTTTTGGCATTGTTGTCTCAGGCTACACAACAGTAGGGTCAACCAGGTTGGCCGTACTGGTGCTCATGGCCACAATATTCACCCTCCGAACAGTCCCACTCGGTCAGGGAGTACTCCCCCACTTCACCACCACAATCCTTATCAAGTAGGCGCTCCAACATAGCTCTGGATGATACACTGATTAGCCCGACTCTAACAGTATTGGTGGATCCGAAGAGGCATCCCTCATCTTCCCAGGATGCATCTGCCTCTTCGTTCCCCTTCTCCCCTCCAGATGATTATCGCCAGTTCCAAGAATTGCTGCAGAAAATAGCTAACACTCTACAGATTCCCTTAGATGAAGTACAAGTCTGTCAACACCACCAGCTTGACATCTTGCACAGTTCGGTACCGGCGGGAGTGCCCTTGCCAATCAACAACGCTATCCTCCAACCAGTGCACAAAGTATGACACACCTTGGCCATGTGTCCACCCATCCCAGAGGGGGCTGACAAGAGATACTGTGTCCCCACCAAAGGGTCAGAGTTCCTGTTTTCTCATCCTCCACCAAACTCATTTGTTATCCAGGCAGCCTCAGAACATTTCAAACACCACCCCCCACTCCACCCCATCCAATACAGCGGGTAAGAGAATGGACCTTATGGGCAGAAAAGTCTTCTCGGCAGACTCCAGTTTTATATTTCAAACTACTTAGCCCTGATGGCCAAATATGATTTCATGAACTATGGGCGATTGGCACAGTTTGCAGAGAAACTACCATCACAGGATCGCAATCAATTCTAGGCAGTGTTGGAGGAAGGCAAGTTACTCACCAGATCCATGCTTCAACAGTGGACTCCACAGACACGGCCTCCTATGTCTTGGCAACAGGGATCATCATAAGGAGGGAATCCTGATTACACTCCTCTGGCTTCCCCAGGGAGGTGCAAAACACTACAGAAGACCTCCCATTTGACTATCGCACCTCTTCAGTCAGAAGACAGACAAGTCCCTACACTCCCTAAAGGACTCTAGAGCCACTCTAAGATCTCTGAGCATCTACACAAAAGCACCCAAGAGGAAATTCCACCACCCGCACCAATCATATAATTACGGGGCTCCATAGCTATACCACCAGTGTACCTATAAGCTTCCTCAAAAGCACCCTCAGGTCCACAGCCCTTTCAGCCTACATCGACCATCCAGCCATCAGTGCAGTACACCCAAACATCACATAAACAGTATTTGAGTGTCCTTAGCTGTCAGCCACTCCGTACACCAATGCCCATTTCATGTATTCTCTTCGGGGGGCACCTCAAACTTTTCCTGCCAGCATGGAAAACCATAACAGTGGACAAATGGATCCTAGATATTATCCAGAGCGACTGTCATAGAATTTACAGCAACACCTCTATCTCACTGCCCTCCTCGATCTGCGTGCATGAAACACACACAATGACCTCCTCCAACTAGAGGTAGACTCCCTATCGCAGAGGAGAGCTGTGGAGCTAATCCCCTACTCCTTTCAAAGAACAGGATTCTACTCAAACTAGTTCCTAATCCCCAAAAAGACTGGAGGGTGAAGACCAATATTTGATCTCTGCCTCAAGCGTTCGATTTCTAAACTAAGATTTTGTATGGTCACACTTGCCTTTTTCTAAAGAGGGAATGATGGTTGCATCTTATTGATAGATATGCAAGATGCCTACTTCCATATCGATATACACCCAACCCTCAGAAGGTTCCTGAGGTTCAAGGTGGGGACTTGGCATCTTCAATACAGGGTCCTACTGTTGGGACTTGCCACTGCCCCATGAGTATTCACAAAAGTTTTCTTGGCAATGGCAGCTCATCTCGGACATCAAGGGATCCTTGTTTTCCCCTCTCTAGATGACTGGCTGGTAGCAGCACTGTACAAAGAAGCAGCCCAGGAGTCGACATCCCAACTGCTTCTACTCCTCCCTGGGGGCCAGTATCAACGACAGAAAATCAACTTTAAACCCTATGCAATCCCCGGAGTTCATAAGAGCTCTCATAAGATGCGACCTCTGCCTAAGCTTATCTACCAAGGGAAAGATTCCAGACAAGGACGGAATTAATCACTTTGGTATCCTCCACACATGGCAGCCTGTACATACGTCACACCCTTTGCTTGTCTGCACCTGCACTGCCTTCAGCCGTGGCTGCGAAGGGTCTTCTCCCCCATGCGTCAATCCACATGCACACTGCTCCACATGCCATCACAAGATTTCTCCTCACTCTGGTGGTGGATGAACCCACTACAGGTCTGATCAGGGATGAGCTTCCTCCCATCCTTGCCCACCATGACAATCATATGACGCATCCCTCACAGGCTGGGGCACCCACATCCGCGATTGCACAACACAAGGCACCTGGATAGCATGAAAGTTCAGGATGCATATGAACCTATTGGAACTCCAGGCAGTATGCAAAGCTTGCCAGGTGTTCCTGCCAACCATCTGAAACCAACATATTCTTGTCATGTCAGGACCACCGCCACCACAGTCTTCTACATAAACAAACAAGGGGGAACAAGATCCGAGCCCTGTGTGTGGAAGCTATACACCTTTGGGTATGGTGCATCACACACCATATTCTTTTGACAGCAGCCTACCTATCGGGCACCCAGAATGTGATTGCCGATGCTCCCAGCGGAAACTTTGCAACCAACCACAAATGGGAGTTGCATGACTCTGTAATCATGGACATCTTTGACCAATGGGGAATCCTAGTGAGGGATCTTTTTGCACCCCATAACAATACCAAATGTGCCCAATATTGTTGGAGGGGAGGAGTTGGAATTCCATCACAGGGGGACACCTAGTCCTCAATTGCTTGGACTAGACGAATTATGCCTTCCCCCCCTTACTGCAAGTGATCCACAAGATCAAACAGCAGAAGGCAACAACCATCTTGACAGTCTCATTCTGGCCTCACCAATTGTGGCATCTGCTCCTTCTCTGAATATCGAAGCACCCTCCAATCACACTTTGAACATTCCCAGAGCTGCTGACTCAACACAATGGCAGACTCAGACACCCCACTCACACACTCTTCACCTCTTGGCTTGGTTTTTGGATGGACACCTCCACTAGTGCGGGAATGCTCTGTGGCAGTACGAGATGTCCTCTCCAGCAGCAGGAAGGAGTCCACAAGGTGCTTGTATCAAGCCAAGTGGATGTTTCACTTCCTGGGCTACCAAACAGGGCCTTGTCCCTGAAGCAGAGGGCATCCTATTACTCCTGGAATATTTCCTTTATCTGAAGGACTCAGGACTGACTGTCAGTTCCATTAGGAAAAAAGAAAAGGAGTACTTGTGGCACCTTAGAGACTAACAAATTTATTTGAGCATAAGCTTTCGTGAGCTACAGCTCACTTCATTGGATGCACATTTTCCACTGCATGCATCCGATGAAGTGAGCTGTAGCTCACGAAAGCTTATGCTCAAATAAATTTGTTAGTCTCTAAGGTGCCACAAGTACTCCTTTTCTTTTTGCGAATACAGACTAACACGGCTGCTACTCTGAGTTCCATTAGGGTGCATGCAGCTGCCATAGGCACCTTTCATCTGCTGGTCATTCAGTCTTTACCCGCCCTTTAACTGTGTGGTTCTGGAGGGGTCTCCTGCGAAAATACCATCCTATTCAACCTTTCGCTCCCAATAGGACCTTAACCTAGTCCTCACCTTGCTGATCACCATCTTCAAACCTATGCTTGCTATCTCTCCTTTCCATGAAAGTCGCCTTCCTCATCGCCATTTCATCGGCTAGGAGGGTTAGGAAACTGGGGGCCATGATGGCTAATCCCCTTCACCACTTTTCATAAAGACAAGGTCTCTTTACAATTCCACCCCAAGTTCCTTCTGAAGGTGGTTTCCCAATTCCACGTCACTCAACCCATACACTTACCTACCTTTTTCCCCAAACCTCATGCCTTGAACAAGGAAAGAAGGCTTCACTTGTTAGATGTTTGAAGGGCATTGGCTTTTTATCTTGAGCAAACAAAGCTCTTTCAGAAATCTCCCAGGTTTTTTGTTGCCATAGTGGAGAGAATGAAAGGACAAGCCATTTCCATCCAGAGAATTTTCAAGTGGGTCTGAGGGTGCATTATGCGCTTCTATCATGCAATTCCGCCTGAAAGGATTTGAGCCCATTGCATGAGAGTGTAAGCATCAACTACAGCTACACTCCACAATGTGCCTCTCGCAAACATATGCAAGGTGGCCACATGGAGTTCGGTACACACTTTTTTTGACGCACTATGCTCTAGTGCATGATTCTGCGACAGATGCTTTATTCGGAGCAGCAATCGTCCATTCCACAGGCTCCTCGCACCATCCTACGACATAAGTACTGCTTGTTAATCACCCTCAGTGGAGTACAATAGGGACCATCACTTGAAGAAAAGGTTACTTATATGTAACTGAATGTTCTTCGAGATGTGTGGTCCCTGTCTGTATTTGAAACCCACCCTCCTTCCCCTCTACTGCAGAGTCAATAGCTCTGCAGTAGAGAAGGAACTAGAGATGCCAGCAGCCCATCATGCCCTTTATCACCTGGGGCAAGACCATGAGGTTACACAGGGCATGTGCGCAGACTGCCGAACGGTACTATCAAAAGCTTTGGCTCCAGGCATATGGCGCATGCACATAACCAGTCAGTGGAATATGGATGGGGACCATGCATCTCAAAGAACATTCAGTTCCAGGTAAGTAACCTCAGGTTGTTTTGGCTGAGGTGTAACTCCAAAAACAGTGATTCACAGAAATTATGCTCAAGCAGTGCAGTTACAAAGCTTGCTGAAACACATGAATACTAATTTTGCTTCTGTCCATTGGAAACACAGTATGATTCTCCCTGTTTTGAGCTCTTTCCTTACTAACTGCTGACAGCATGCATACCAAATCTCCTGACTGAAGAATCAGGGACAATTGTGCTCATTGAGCAGAGATTATCTGGCAATTATTTCAGTAGGAAAATTTGTGGATCTGTGTTTTTGCAACAGGCATACAAAATTGTCTTATGAGTATCTACCATCTGTGGCATACAATCTAATTGACCATCCTCACCATGATGAGAGAACTGAACTATTTATCTGCTATGGGGAAAGAGATACTACACCAGCTGGCTGTTTCTATACAATAAATGGCATTGGAGTTTTCTTTTGCATCAACAGTGACGTTAATGTGTCTGCTTTAAATGTTTTTAAAGATTTATATAATTAAATGTGTGTGCAAATATAAACTACTTTGGAAACATTACCCTTTAAAAGTATTGATTTTAGTGTGCATAACCTAGGGAAAACTGAATGCTGTCTTTCTAGAGTAAAGAGAAATAGGAATTTGAGCTTTTCCTTTCATGTCTTAGTGTTAGATTAGTTTCTTACAACGCTTGGGCAGTGACAATTTTGGGATGACTACTTCATTTTTCTGATCTTTTGGATAAACAGTCTAACCAATCCACAGTAACACTACAGAAGAGTGCGTACTTGGAAAGAAATCCCAAGGGCTTGTATACATCTTCATTCTTGTTGTAAATTTTTATTTTGATCAGCATCTTTAGAACTTTTATTTCTGATAGTCTGGATGTGGAGGACTTTCCATGTCGAACACATTTAAAGGGATCAGAGACCTTTATTTCTAAGTAAGTCTCATTATATTGAGTAAAGAAAAGTAAACTTTGAATGTTTTTTGTCTTTCCAGATACAGTTTATGTAATCATGCCAGATGGAAGAGAAAGGAACAGCTCCAAAAAGACACGTATCAACAGCAAACCCCTACTTCCAGCAAAATCCAAATTGCTGTATTTTAACTCCTCTTCCTTTAAAATGATGCAGGAAAATCATGAAGGCCCACAAAGGAAACTGGGACAACTCTTTAGGAAAGTGTCAATACACGATATAAAGCCAAGAATTCCCCTAATTTAAGATGTTTTTTTCTGGTGACTAACGCGTCAGTACTTTCAACTCCTATTAGTATCCATAATCAGTAACATACTAAGAGAAGCTCTTATTCTGAAATCGTAAGATTTGTATTTGGAAATGCTGTGGGCAATGAAGATGAGTGTCCTTTACCATAACTCAAAACAAGATTTTCTTCGGGGGATCAGATCCTAACTCTTAATTCTGCAGTTATCTTTTCTTCAGTCCTCACAAATGTAGACACAGCAATGAAAATTAACTTTTCTTTTTTAAAAAAATTATATATTCAGTTTGCAGTAGACATTCCTTATGTATTGTTTGTATTTATTTATGATTATCAATTTAAGTAACATTAATATTGTATCAAACTCCTTATGAAAATGAGTATGGATGTATACAGTATGTCTGATTTTTATCCACAAGAATGATTTTGATTCAGAATGCTTTTCAGCTGACACATAGAGAGCACTAACTATTTTAAAGGCCTGAATCTTATGAATTCTCAGTCTGTATGGGAATTAGGGAAGTTATAAAATGCATTAATCCTTATAGTCAATTCTGTGCCGAGGGTTTTGCAAGGGAACAGTTAACTGACCAGGAGAAACACTACATTTTTAATTCAGCATTAGTGTGTTGGGAAGGAACTTTATTGCTTTGTGCTTGGCATGTCATCATTTTAGATTTGACATCAGGCCCTTCCAGAATGAATGTGAGGAATTGCTTTCACTTTAAGACTTTCCTTTTCTTTAAACACTCTAGGAGGTATTTTGTGAAAAAAGCCTTGATTTTCATTTGGCTAGTGCCATGTTTATGATCATGTACCTTTAAAAAAAAAAAAATGGGGGGGAAGTAGGATCTTTACAAATGACGACTAGCAAGAATTTAGTTAATGAGGAATTAAAGCAGCACTGTTGATCGGTGCTTTGCGTAAATAGTTAACTTTTGGGTGGAAAGGGGCCTTCAGAAGGATAGTCAATGATATGAAAGCAATTCTGTACATGAATTAAGCATACTTGCTGCATTGTCTCTGCAGATTCTATTTTTGTTTAAAATATTAAAATGTATGTTAGCAAAAATGGGTGGATTTTCAAATAAAATGCAGCTTCCACAGACCTTTTTGTTACAGTATGAAAGTATGAGGTGCTTTTTTCTTTTTGCCTCTTAAAATGGGCAAGAATTACTACTTTCTTTCCTTACAATACCAAATCTGTTTAATTACATGCATATTACATGTTAGGAAGTGCACCAATCTGAATGTCTAGATTTTTATACTGTGCCTCTCCCCATGGTGGTACAGCACCTTCGTTTTATTGATGTGAGCGAATTCAGACTCTCACCAAGAGCTGGATCTATTACTTGAAATCATTGGTGTCCGGTGTCCCCTAACATTCTCAAAATGCTTAGAGTAGGCAACTTGATGTTTGTAACTGGGAAACAGAAAGAAACATGAACAGGCTTACACCAGTTTCCCTTACACAACTACCTCAAATGTTCCAGACTTGGGCCATGGCTGACAAGCTAGAAGCATCTTGCTGACTATGGTGACAAAGTTCCCATCATGAAAGCAAAGGGCTTACTCGAAGTCTAGGAAGAATGATATAAGCGCCTGTTCATAATGAGGGGAACCTAGTAGGGCTGTTTTCAGCTATTCTGAGGTTTGCCCTGATGGTCAAATCTTGACCTTATATTGGCCCACATTGTAAAATGGCTACTACACAAGTAACTTTAGGGACTCTGTCTAAAGAAACGTGTGAATGGGGCTGAGCCAGTATTGTTCTGTTAGTATGCAAAATGGACATATTGCCTGTATTGGTTGGTAAAAGGTTTTGAATCTTTAGTATTCCCTACTAATGCTCTTCTCCCAGGCTGCTACCTTCTACTTCAGAGATTCATTTGAAAAGTCTATAGCCCTTTGTTGGTTGCAAACAACCTTTAAAATGAAGTGTCTGATGTGGTGATGGCCTTGTTTTATAAGTAGGGCCCTACCAAATTCATGGCCATGAAATATGGTCTCCTGCCATGAAATCTGGCTATTGTAGGGGGGTTGCAATATAGCTACCCTTACTTCTGCGCTGCCTTCAGAGCTGGGTGGCCGGAGAGCAGTGGTTGCTGGACAGGCACCCAACTCTGAAGGCAGTGCCACCAGCAGCAGTGCAGAAGTGAGGGTGGCATGGGATGTGGGGGAGCAGGGCACCCTGGGCGTCCCCCGTCCACACACACACACACACACACACACAGAGCCAGCCCAAAGTTCCTTTAACTTCTGAGCACTGGAGAGGAGCAGAGCTGGGGGCTCCTACCCTGTGCCAGGCTCAGGCTGCTAGTCCTGGCCAGGCTGTGGAGGGATGGGACTTCCTTTTCCCTTGCATTGGCTGGTCCCAGGGCCGGGTCAGACCCACCTCTGGTGCTGGCACAGAAGGGTGGCAATACTGCAAACACACACTACCCTTTCAACTCCCCCTCCCCCCGTAGTCAGGACCTCCACAGTTACAACACTGTGAAATTTCAGATTTTAAAAATCCTATGACCATTAAATTTACCAAAATGGACTGTTGATTTGGCAGGACCCTATTTATAAGAGTACGCCTTGATTGCCAATAAAAGGTATGTTAATGCGGGTTGGCTAACGTGCTAGCTGACAGGTTAAAATAGCAGTGAAGACATAGCAACTTGCCTTAAGGTTAGCAGCTCCAGTTCAACCCCAGGCTGCCCCTACAGGCTTTAACTTGAGCTGCTCATCTCAGTCCCATGTGGCTGCTCTCCTTCAGGAGTAACCTGTTCTCGTATCCGTGGGCTGTGTTAAGCTGGGAGTTCTAAGGCACGTAAGTGAGTTGCTCAACTCACGTTACTTTTCAATGAAAGTTGAGTACCTCATTCCCATAGGCTGGATTGTTTTATTTGTAAGAGCAGGAACTCCTGCTGCAGAGCTGCCGCCTTCTTGCTGTTCTGTACATCTGATTCAGCAAGCCGTGGAGGGGATGATTGTGTTGTTACAGAGGGCTCTGATTCCTCGTAGAAACTGATCAGACTACTTGAAAAAAAGTAAAAGCAGCGTGCAAACCCGGGAAAAAAATTTTAAAGAAACAACCTTAGGGTATAAATTAGACAATAAAAGGAGTCAGAGCAATGGAGCTTTTCCTTTAAGTTATTCTGGCCAAAGTCATCACAAGAATCTGTCACTGGTGTAAATTTGAGAAATAAATATTGGACATTGCATGTATTTTCTAAAAACTCAAATGTACCGAACACCCAAGGTGGGTAATACATCTAAAGGTCTTGCTGCTATGAAAACGCAGTCATTAGGGAACAGAAATCGCAGGGATGTATAAAATACTGGTTTAAGTATGGCAATATTGCATGCAACAGATTGTCACTGATAGCTTGAAAACTGTCCCCCCGGAAGCACAGAATCACTAACTTCTTTCAGAATAGACAAATATTAATCATATCAGAAGGCCCCTGAGGCCCACCACACAGATAGCTGCTGCTCCTCCCTCAAGCTGTTAGCAAGGGAAAAGATGTTAAACCAGCAGACCTGAAGACCTTTTGCTCCAGGTGCCCCCTCTCCCCCCCCGCCCCGAACCAAATAAGAAAAGTAGAAGCAAGGGCAATGCCAGCCAAGAAGAGCCTGTTCTTCAGAGGTCATTGCTGGGCAGAAGAGGATGGAAGCAGGATCGGGATGGTACCTGGGAGAAATGAGTTAATTACAGCTTGGGAAGCCATGGGGAAACGGCTGAAAGGGGAGCTGGAACCCAAAAAATAAAAGAACACGCCATGAATTTTCAAAGAAAAGAGTTAATGGCTCTGCAATCATATCAGCTAACTCCCTCAGCATTCTCGGATGCATTAGATCTGGCCCCATGGACTTGTGCACATCCAGCTTTTCTAAAATATTTAGGTAAATTTCTTTGGAGATAGCTGTGATGTCCGTGGCAATAGCCTACCATGTTCTTATTCAGTATTAAAAAGCACTTTCAAAAGATGAGTGAACACTAGTTCCATTATACAGACTGGGAGGGCCAGGTTAAGTGACTTGCCCAAGTAAGTAGCAGAACTGAGACTCGAAGTGAGGTCCCTTGCCTCACTCACTCTCTTGGGCCAATGATAATAAAATCCTTCCACCTCTTGGCACAAAGATGAAGAGTCTGGAACTCTACAGCAAACTCTTTCCTGGAGCGAGACAGACCCTACTATAATCTGATACCAAAGACAGGGCGGCTGAAGTATTTTAATAAATACAACTGAGTTTGAGTTATTCTTATGAAGAACTTCTATCCTGCTGATGATGTTATATATCGTGACTTTTCAAACTTCCTTTCACAGCATGGACCTCCCCCCTCACACCCATTCATTCACAACTGCCTGCCTTCCCCATGGCACCTACAACAGTTGCTCATGAAATACTAGGTAAGTATTTGTATTTTTAGCAGCTTGCTACATTTTAACCACTGGAAATAAGAGCTGGCACCAGCCTGCTCTCCATGCAGCACCAGCGAATAGTCCATGGACCACCCTGGAAGAGCTGCTGCTGTTGACTATATAAAGCTAGACAGTACCACGCGGTCAATATACATTTACTAATATAACGCTGTAAAAGGTATAGTTATAGTGCTAGAGCATGTACTCTAGACTACCATATGCTAGAGTCACTGGTCACTCACCAGTTGGTGAGGTTCTCTGAAAAGTGACATTATGGTGTTCCCAACTGATGGGCTCTCGGTGACTTCCTGTAGATTAAACCTTGAGTCCATGTCAGGCTGGGTTCTTTCTGGCTCCAACACCATCCATAGAGTCTGCAATCAGCAGTGGGTAAGCAGTTGTGATGGCCTAGGTCTTGGCCAACAAGTCAGGCACTGAAAAGGAGACTTCCAGGGCTAAAAGCATGAGTCTCCATAACTTGAACTAAAGAGCCAGACTTTGCAACAACTCCTACCCTCTGTAGGTGGGGAACACGACACACAGCCCAGTGAGTTACTCGACCATGCTAATAATTCATAAACCAGAATAGAAGGCAGCTTGCTGTCCCAGAGCTGCACTGACTGTACAGAGCAAACAGGAGTAAGTAGGAGCTAGTTTTACTTGCGAAAGTGAGCAGATATGCTGAGCAAAATGATGCCATTTTTAGTCACCTCAGACTAGAACTGCATTTGTGGAGTGAAGCTACCTTCCATTCTCACCATAGGTCTGGAGCCTCTCTCTGCTTCAGTGACACCATAAGCTCCATACATTTTCATGGAGACGCTAGCATAAAGCTGGAATAACAGCGGTGAAGCACATTCCTGAGCCAAACCAACACACCTGCAATTTCCATGTGTGTTTTTTATTTTCTGGAAAGTTTGAAGCTGATTGAACAGAGAGATGAGGCTGCAGTGACTGAGATCTCACTTGTATGTCACCGACAAACTTTTCCTTAGTATCTCTTCATCCTAACCCCAGGATGGCTTTGCCTAGAAACTCTTCCAAAACTGGGGCCTTTGCCAAGGAATCCTGCTTTCAATTATAGTTCTGGTGGGGACTGTTGGCAGTGTCCATGAATTATAGCTCCAATACAGAGTTTGAACTCTTCATTGTCTTGATGAGGAAAGAGCTGCAGTAGGGAACCACCTGTGGGGCTGGTCGCTTAGAACTATAGCCACATTGGAGGACAGAAGTGTTCATGCTGGGCATGAGGGGGCCAAGAAGTGAGAGACACAGACAGACACAGGAGAGTAGAGGGAAGGAAAGAAAACACATCTAGTGTTCCAGAAATTGCTCGCTTAATAACAAGCCCCGCTGTAGCACTCTGGCGTCGTCTCTTACTGTGGTGGCAAAAGCATGAGGCAAGGAGCTGCATGGTGGGATGGCAACTGGTCCACGGACAGAGTGGGAGGATCCCACAGGAGTGGGCTCTTCAGCATTAATTCCTGTCACTGAGTAATTCCTACAGGAGAGGCATTATCAGGCAACCCATAGCACAGAGCTGGAATTAAGGTGATAAACAGCACTCACAGGAAATCGTTTAAGAGTTTTTACAAAACTACAAATCCTAGTCTGGGAATTCCACGTTATGGTTAAACAAAAATATGGCATTGCATCATGAGATTCACCCAAACTCCCTTAGTTCTGCCCCATAGCACCAATTACAGAGGAACCAAAAGCAAGTGCCAAGCCCGTCTTCAAACAATGCCCCTCTTCAACACCTCCATGACTCAGAATGCTGAGCCATGAGCTAATCTTGCCCCTGTTGATAGTTTGTGCTACTGTAGCTTTTTAATCAATTTGCTTCTGTCTTTGCATCACTTTGGAAACTACTGCTCCTTTTTGTGTTTTTACACCTTCCCATGAAAGTGGCCACATTCAGAACCCCTACTGGGGACAAGTCCCAAAATACATAGGGTTGGCCATATAAAAGTGTTTCTGCAGTGTTACCCAACACAACTATCATATCTGAGACTAAAGACCTTGGAAAAGCCAGACCAAAAATGAAATAAGTGATAGACACTCCTGGGGTGGTGAAGATTAACACTTACATAAACCAGATGTATAGCCATGTAATCCACAACTGCTTGGCTCAACAGGAAAATCATACAAAGAGGATTCAAGCCTGAGCACTCTGGCTGCAATCCAATTAAGCACATGCTTAAGGGCTTTGCTGGATGGGGGTCAAAATACTTAGCACTTTGCAGGACTGCACTCAAAGAGGATTTTAGTGGATTCAAGATGTTTACACTTCCAGCCTATTAGCTTTAGTCCTTATCAAAACTGCATTAAAATGTGCCTATTTATTTGATACTCGGTGGACTGGGAGAAGGTCAGCAGTGGGAGGAGGGCGGAGTTCAGGTAATTTGGGTGATGTCCATGCTTCCTAATTATTGTACCCTTAATTTTGAATTGCCAGACTACCCTTTGCTGCCCTGGTGAGAGGTTTGTGTGTTGGGATGTGAGCTGGGTTGGGGCAACACCTGACAGAGAGTCCCGGTTATCAGCTGCCGGCTGCAGCGAGGACAAGCCTACAGCTGAGCAGGGCACATGAGTGGAGAACAGACTAGGTCACAGAGGGCTCAGGGCTTGCTGCGAGAAGGTAAATTGCTTTGGTTCTGTTCCTGTAATTTAAGAGGAAAGCCTGTCTAACTTAGCTGGTCATGGAGTGTAAGATTAGATGAGACTGAATATGCATACAGGCTGTTTGTTGTTTGAAAAGCCCTTTTTCTTCCAACGTTTTGTTCCAACTACTAAACAAACATACTTTGTTCTAATCAGGCTGTTGGCTCCTGAAGAAAGGAAACACAGATGCCCGAAGCCCAGTCAGGCCTGCAGGGCGATAGGGGTTGGTAGACAGGAGGTACAGTACCCAGGTCCTTCTCAAAGAGCAGAAAAATCAGTAAGGCTATGTCTACACGAGAGACCTTACAGTGGCACAGCTGTACCAATGCACTGTACCACTGTAAGATCCCTCTATGCTGAGAGGAGAGAGCTCTCCCCTAGACATAATTAATTCACCCCCAACGAGCTGTCGGCAGGAGCGCTTATGCCGGTGAAACATCTGTTGCTCGGTGGGTGCAATATTCACACCCATGAGCTACGTAAGTTTTGCTGACATAAGTGGCTGTGTAGACATAGCCTAAGGCACTCAGAGTGAGCAAGGAGACAGATACACAACCAGCCTCATAACCATGACAGGTCTGAACAATATGCCCAGCATGTTTTAAAATCCTTTAACTGAAGAATAGATACATTTTTAAATCCACTTTCTGGTGTTGCAGTTTAATTTCATGCCATTTATTAAAATGTGTCTGATCTTTTGATTTACAGAGGTGAAAAGAAAATCATTCAAGCAAATATTTTGGCAATAGTTTGGATTATTCTCAACATACTGTACATTGCTTAAACCAAGTAAATACTTAGCAGTTTCCACATTTTATGTCAGCCTTCGTTTATTGGTTTGTAATGTCTAATCAAACTAGAAATCTGCATGTGGGAGACTGCAAGTATGGACCATAGAAGTAAAATATTGACCCTGATCCTGCATTAGCTACACCCCATCCACATTAGTGGGAGTTTGCACTGCAAAAGGAATGTGCAGGTTCATGCCCTCAGTCTGTAGTACTAGAGAAAGAAACCTTTATATGAGCCATCTAGAGATATTCCTGTTAATGCATCCAGCTATTTAAATTATCTAATATTTAAATCTAATGCTTTAGGTACTTAAGAAAAGAGCTTCCATAAAGCATTGTGTCACAGATTACCTGGAAAACAGATCAAAGATTTAATGAACTGCAAATTACATTTCTAAATGAGCAACATAAATTAGTCTATTTTTAAGCAACCAGGATCTTTTGTTCCTAAGTAAATACAGATTTGATCATGCGGTATGTGATGTGGCCCTCTGATTTATAGGTATCAAAACTGTCTTCAAACTGGCATTTGCTTGACATTTCTCTCACTTCTTCATGAATAGGCATGGCTCTTCCCACTACACTCATCAGTTTCGTCCCCAGGGGACCCAGTTTTGAGTATTCCTGGAGTTGCAGAAGAGAGAGGGAATATTGTTGTTCATCAGCAATTGCATAACAAAAGAGAGGCACTTCAGAAGATGACTGTTTTCCTTTTCAAAGAGACTTCCTCAAGGGGTTCCGTGTTCAACAATTTCCATATCAAATGTGCAAAAAGAAAAGGAGTACTTGTGGCACCTTAGAGACGAACCAATTTATTTGAGCATAAGCTTTCGTGAACTACAGCTCACTTCATCGGATGCATACTGTGGAAAGTGTAAAAGATCTTTTTATACACACAAAGCATGAAAAAATGGGTGTTTACCACTACAAAAGGTTTTCTTTGGGGTGGGAGGGATAGCTCAGTGGTTTGAGCATTGGCCTGCTAAACCCAGGGTTGTGAGTTCAATCCTTGAGGGGGCCATTTGGGATCTGGGGCAAAAATTGGGGATTGGTCCTGCTTTGAGCAGGGGGGTTGGACTAGATGACCTCCTGAGGTCTCTTCCAACCCTGATATTCTATGATTCTATGATTCTCTCCCCCCACCCCACTCTCCTGCTGGTAATAGCTTATCTAAAGTGATCACTCTCCTTACAATGTGTATGATAATCAAGTTGGGCCATTTCCAGCACAAATCCAGTGCTTTTTTTCCTAACTCCCTCCCCCCTCCTCAGACGTTCTTGTTAAACCCTGGATTTGTGTTGGAAATGGCCCAACTTGATTATCATACACATTGAAAGGAGAGTGATCACTTTAGATAAGCTATTACCAGCAGGAGAGTGGGGTGGGGGGAGAGAAAACCTTTTGTAGTGGTAAGCACCCATTTTTTCATGCTTTGTGTGTATAAAAAGATCTTCTACACTTTCCACAGTATGCATCCGATAAAGTGAGCTGTAGCTCACGAAAGCTTATGCTCAGATAAATTGGTTAGTCTCTAAGGTACCACAAGTACTCCTTTTCTTTTTGCGAATACAGACTAACACAGCTGTTACTCTGAAACATATCAAATGTGCTTAGTTTACAAGTAAAAAAAGGAGTACTTGTGGCACCTTAGAGACTAACAAATTTATTTGAGCATGAGCTTTCGTGAGCTACAGCTCACTTCAGCGGATGCATTCAGTGGAAAATACCACAAGTACTCCTTTTCTTTTTGCGAATATAGACTAACACGGCTGCTACTCTGAAACCTGTCATTAAGTAAAAAAAGGTTTTCATTCCAACTGCCAGCCCTGCTAATTGGGTTTCAATGGCCTTAAATACGCTCTGTGCCCCTTTGCACTTACACCTGGGAAGCCCTAATCCAAAGCTATGTCTACACTGTGCAGCTTACAGCGACACAGCTGTGCCACTCAAGCCTTGCCGCTGTAAGGCGGGCAGTGTAGCCGCTCTTTGTCGGCAGCAGAGCGCTCTCCTGATGACAAAATCAAACCAGCCCCAATGAGGGGCGGTAGCTTTGTCAGGAGGAGGGCATCTCCCGCTGACAGTGTTTTTTTCACACCCCTGACCAACAAAAGTTTTAACGAGAAAAGTGCAATGTAGACATAGCCCAAGCCCCTCCACAGAGAGTGAGGTCTGGAAGAGGTGGCCTGGCCATTTACCCCTCCCAACACAAAGTTCAGAAAGGTCTAAGGCCCAGACAAAGGAGAGCACTTGAACCCACACAATACCCTTAATGGCACTTGGGGTGCAGTGTCTCTATAGCAGCATCTCCAACTCTTTCCATGGGGATTGTCACCCTGGCTGCTTATACAGTGTATATATAATCCCAAATGTGGAAGCCAACAGCACCTTTCACAATAACAGTACTGAAAGCTGAACCAGTCCTGCTGGTAGTTCATTTCCTGATTAGAAAAAGCTAGTGCCACAAGTGAAAGAAGTCCCATTGATTTTGAACCTTTACCTGGGTATCTTTTTCATCTTCAAACAATAGGTAGTTGAGAGCAGGAGCCATTGGCTCTCCCCACAGATCCTCATAGCTGTCTTCCTGCTTCTCGGCCTCTGTCTCAGACTGAGTGTCTGAAAACACTTTGTTCTCTATGGCTAGGGGTGCTGTGCTCTTGGGGCTTTCATCTCCAGCATCTGTCTTTGCTTTTGGGGGGAAGTACAAGGAGATGTAATGGGGTTATACCTTGTGAAGGTTAGAAATAAAGCTTCTTATGGAAATTTTCTATAATCTTTACTATGAGGCTGCCAGGGAGACTCCCAAATATACACTATGGACAGGTAAAAAAAAGAGCAATGGACAAGTTTTATGCCATAATGCACATGCAAGCTGTGAGATACTGCTGCTCTCCCCGTAGCACCACTGTATATCGCACAATCCAGTAGAATCTCTCTCAAGTTGACCGTTAATTCCACATGCGTCTTGGACAGACACACTGAGACCATCCTCTTAGAGCATGGGCCACTGTACTGCTGGAAGGACCATCTTTTGGATGAGATGTAAGACAGTATATGATGATTCATGGGCAGTAAAAATCCAAGGCATCTTTTTGCACAAGGCAGCTGATCCTAGCATCTTGGCCTGGCCCAGTTCCATTTTGGGAAACTACATCCTACTGACCTAAATATCTATTTCACTTAACACAATAGTGTATTATTTTCTTCCTGTCCTGCACTGTGAAGTAGAGCTGCTGCGCTGGCTGCTAAACCCGAGGTAACTGCATTTCAGTGGTAGATTAAATGATCACCAAGTACAGTAGAATGATTGCAAAGGACTTTGCAGATGAAAAGTACTTAATGTAAGATTACTTATAAAATTCCGTGACTTTTTGACATGTGCATTACCTCCATAATCTCTACACTGTAGTCCTTCCAAGTCCTCACTAAGCAATTCCTCTCCTTGAACTTGCAGGCCAGCTCCCTGGGTAAGAAATAAATGCCTAAGAAATTTAAAAAAAAATACATGACATTAGAGCTCTGAACATATTTCCCTAGAAACTGGAACAATTAACTATGCCTTGTTTTCAGAAAAGACATACTCGAAAAGCCATCTGACATTTAACCACAAGCTCAGAATAATGCAATGGTTTAAAAATGTGATTGAGGCAGCCAGGTAACTTAATGACTATGCTCTTTTGTATTCCTAATTCAAGTCTGCCCATACAACTCAAAGAAAACAAATGTTGTCTCGAATCAGTACACAGTCCAAACCACAGCTGGTAGTCTTCACTTAGAAGCAGTCCAAGGTTCTTCTAGCAAGGAGAGTTAGAGACCCCCTTTTGTGGTTAAGATGTGACTGCTACAGCAGGGCTGAAATCATGGGGCAGGGACAGTAAAGAGATGAGTGATAAACATAGTGTGTAACACCAGAGGTTATGATACCACATGTTCTAAATTAATCCTCTTTTCGGGAATAAGTTAGCTCCTTCAAATGTGAAGGAACTTCATGCTGTGCAATGTACCCTTACAGTGCTATGCAAGAGCCTCTTCCTTATTTCTGCTTAGTTCAGCATGTCATCTGCAGTACTTGGGATTGAAAAAACTAAATTAGCACATTAGCCTTCACGCCCCCAAATATTTGAACCAACAATAAGGAGAAGAGATATGCCCTAGTGTCCAGCCTGCACAGCTAGATATAGGGGGAGGTGTGACAGGAAGGAATTCTTCCTCCAGCACCATCGGACTGCAGCCCTAAAGTGTGAGCCTTGGAGGAGGAGATAATGGGAGGATCTGTACAGCAGGAGATAATCCAGCTTTGCCACCCCCACATCCTGATCCCTATGTGCTGGTGCATACAGAGTCACAAGGTAGCTGAGCTTCAAATCATGTCCTCTTTTGAATAAGAAAGCTGCATTGGTTCTACTGCCCTGGGACGCTGAATGGCTGAGGAGGCAGCAGAAGTAGTTTCCAGGGCCCAGATTCTCAAAAGTATTTAGGCTTCAAATGTCCACTGAAATCAGTGGAAGTTAGGCATCTAAATACCTTTGAGGATCTGGGCCTAGGTCTGTAAATGGAACCATTCTTACCCTGATATTTTAAGATTCTGAAGTCTGCAGTTAAACAGGCTCCTTATCATATATATATTTTCTTCTTCTAGTAGCTGAGCAGATGCTTCCAAGTCACTTACTTCCTTTCGGTATATTTCAACCTGTCGCAGATGAGAAAAACATGAGGTAATCTAGAAAGAGAGGGGGACCTGCACAATGGGTCCTGATCCAGGAGCTTCCTGAGTTCTTATCCTTACAACCTATCCTGAAAAATGATCCCTCACTCTCACAGATCTTGGGGGACAGACCAGTCCTCACTTACAGACAGTCCCCCAACCTGAAGCAAATACTCTCCAGCAACCACACACCACACAACAAAAACACTAACCCAGGAACCTATCCTTGCAACAAAGCCCGATGCCAACTCTGTCCACATATTTATTCAAGTGACACCATCATAGGACCCAATCACATTAGCCACGCCATCAGGGGCTCATTCACCTGCACATCTACCAATGTGATATATGCCATCATGTGCCAGCAATGCCCCTCTACCATGTACATTGGCCAAACTGGACAGTCTCTATGCAAAAGAATAAATAGACACAAATCTGACATCAGGAATCATAACATTCAAAAACTGGTAGGAGAACACTTCAACCTCTGTGGCCACTCAGTAAAAGATTTAAGGATGGCAATTTTGCAACAGAAAAGCTTCAAAAACAGACTCCAGCGAGAAACTGCTGAGCTTGAATTAATATGCAAACTAGATACTAGAAACTTGAATTAATATGCAAACTAGAAACTTGGGTTTGAATAGAGACTGGGAGTGGCTGGGTCACAACACATATTGAATCTATTTCCCCATGTTAAGTATCCTCACACCTTCTTGTCAACTGTCTAAATGGGCCATCTTGATTATCACTACAAAAGTTCTTTTCTCCTGCTGATAACAGCTCATCTTAATTAATTAGCCTCTTACAGTTTGTATGGCAACTTCCACCTTCTCTGTGTGTGTGTGTTATATATATATATATATATATATATCTTCTTACTATATGTTCCATTCAATGCATCCGATGAAGTGGGCTGTAGCCCACGAAAGCTTATGCTCTAATAAATTTGTTAGTCTCTAAGGTGCCACAAGTATTCCTGTTCTTTTTACCTCCCTCTGTTGCCTTAGACAACACAGAAGGTCAAGAGGAGAAAGACCTGGGTCTACTGGTTAATCACAGGATGACTATGAGTAAGGCTGCGAGTCTGTCATGGAAGTCACGGATTCCGTGACCTCCATGACTTCTGCAGAGGCCAGTGCAGGATCAGGGGCTGCCCAAGCTGAGCAGCCCCTGGGTCAGCAGCAGCAGTTTGGGTGTGTGGGAGGGGGCTAGCAGCAGGGGTTTGGGAGTGTGGGGAGGGCACTTACCTCGGGGTGGGGGGCGCTTACAGGGGGGAGACTTCCCGGCTCCCACTGGCATGACTCTGTAGCTCCTCTTAGGTGGAGGGGCTAGGGGGCTCCGAGCACTGCCCATGCCCAGAGGCCCCATCCCTGCAGCTCCCATTGGCTGCAGTTCCTGGCCAATGGGAGCTGTACAGCCGGTGCTTGCGGCGGAAGCAGCATGCGGAGCCCCCTGGCCTCTCTACCTCCTAGGCGCTGCAGGGACATGCGGAGCCAGGTAGGGAGCCAGCCCCGCCAAAACCCCCAGTGGGGGTCCCAAGCCAACTCCTATAGCACCCGTGGCCCCCACACCCAAGTTTTAGTTAGGGGTATTTAGTAAAAGTCATGGACAGGCTACAGACCATGAATTTTTGTTTACTGCTCCTGATCTGTCCATGACTTTTACTAAAAATACACGTGACTAAAATGTAGCCTTAACTATGAGCCATCAATGTTGTGCACCCATGAAAAAGGCTAATGCAGTACTAGGATGCATCAGACAAGGTATTTCCACTAGAAACATGGAAGTGTTAAGGCACTGGTGAGACCTCATTTGGAATCACAGACGCTGGAGCACCCAGGGAAAAACATTAGTGGGTGCTTAGCACCCACTTGCAGCCAGCTCCCCCCTCCCTCCAGCATCGCACCGATCAACTCCTTCCTCCTGGCACCTCCTGCCCACTGCAATCAGCTGTTTCACAGCATGCGGGAGGCGCTGGGAGGAAGCAGAAGGAGTGGGGATGGGGCAGGCTCAGAGGAGGGGACGGAATGGGGGTAAGAGGTGGGGAGGGGTGGGGGTATGGAGGAAGGGGTCGGGTGGGGGCAGGGCCTGGGGGTTGAGCACACCCCGAGCCCAGAGGAAGCCGGTGCCTACTGTATTGCAATATTGCAGCACCAGGCTTTTTATACAAATTTAAATTACATTCCATAAATGTTTGAAGGACTGAGCCCTAAAATTGTATACTGCATGATCTCATACACTTCTACTTATTAAACACTTGATTGTATGAAGTGGTGTTGTCACGAGCAGAGCCAAGATTCTGGCTGTCATAGAATCATAGAATATCAGGGTTGGAAGGGACCTCAGGAGGTCATCTAGTCCAACCCCCTGCTCAAAGCAGGACCAATCCCCAACTAAATCATCCCAGCCAGGGCTTTGTCAAGCCTGATCTTAAAAACCTCAAAGGAAGGAGATTCCACCAACTCCCTAGGTTACGCATTCCAGTGTTTCACCACCCTCCTAGTGAAAAAGTTTTTCCTCATATACAACCTAAACCTCCCCCACTGCAACTTGAGACCATTACTCCTTGTTCTATCATCAGCTACCACTGAGAACAGTCTAGATCCATCCTCTTTGGAACCCCCTTTCAGGTAGTTGAAAGCAGCTATCAAATCCCCCCTCATTCTTCTCTTCTGCAGACTAACCAATCCCAGTTCCCTCAGCCTCTCCTCATAAGTCATGTGTTCCAGTCCCCTAATCATTTTTGTTGCCCTCCGCTGGACGTTTTCCAATTTTTCCACATCCTTCTTGTAGTGTGGGGCCCAAAACTGGACACAGTACTCCAGATGAGGCCTCACCAATGTCGAATAGAGGGGAACAATCACGTCCCTCGATCTGCTGGCAATGCCCCTACTTATACATCCCAAAATGCCTTTGGCCTTCTTGGCAACAAGGGCACACTGTTGACTCATATCCAGCTTCTCGTCCACTGTAACCCCTAAGTCCTTTTCTGCAGAACTACTGCCTTAGCCATTCAGTCCCTAGTCTGTAGTGGTGCATGGGATTCTTCTGTCCTAAGTGCAGAACTCTGCACTTGTCCTTATTGAACCTCATCAGATTTCTTTTGGCCCAATCCTCTAATTTGTCTAGGTCCCTCTGTATCCTATCCCTACCCTCCAGCGTATCTACCTCTCCTCCCAGTTTAGTGTCATCTGCAAACTTGCTGAGGGTGCAATCCACGCCATCCTCCAGGTCATTAATGAAGATATTGAACAAAACCGGCCCCAGGACCGACCCTTGGGGCACTCCGCTTGATACCGGCTGCCAACTAGACATGGAGCCATTGATCACTACCCAACAATCTAGCCAGCTTTCTATCCACCTTATAGTCCATTTATCCAGCCCATATTTCTTTAACTTGCTGGCAAGAATACTGTGGGAGACCATGTCAAAAGCTTTGCTAAAGTCAAGGAACAACACATCCACCGCTTTCCCCTCATCCACAGAGCCAGTTATCTCATCATAGAAGGCAATTAGATTAGTCAGGCATGACTTGCCCTTGGTGAATCCATGCTGACTGTTCCTGATCACTATGATTCTATGACAGGATTGTGACAACTGTGCAATTGTGACAGGATATGCATCTTCACGTCTTGATGTCACAAACAGAGAACCAGTCTTTCCCTCACAACTGTGGCTTACTTAGGACAACATCCTGCTCACCCTTCTCGCTGAAGTCCTTAGAGGCCTATGATAAGAAGCAAAGTGATGACTACAGACCACCACTAAATTCAATCCCTAATTATCATAGTGTGAAAAACCAGATACTCCTTTTACCTCTTCTTTCAGCCATTCGTTTTCTTCAATCTCCCTGTGACTGGTTTTGTCAATGTGCTTTACGGCATTCTGAGAAAACAGAATTTCAGATCTTCTCTGAAGACAGAACTTTGACAATGGCACATATTTGAGGAAAACATTTCTAATGGGCAGGTTAGTCCTCTAGGCAAGAAATAGCCACACAGGGAACTAGAAACTGTGCAAGGTTCCCCAAAACCAGAGGTGGGCAAACAATGGCCCATGGGCCACATCCGGCCTGCGGGACCGTCCTGTCTGGCCCTTGAGCTCCTGGCCGGGAGGCTGTCCCCCCTTCCCTGTAGTTATGCTGCCATGCGGGCAGTGTGGCTTGCGCCCACCCACCTCCCAGGCTTTCCAATAAGCCTGTCCTGCCGCTCTGAGCAGCATGGTAAGGGGGCGGGGGGGGGGGCTTGGATTAGGGGCCGGAGGTCCCGGAGGGGCAGTCAGGGGGCAGGAGGCGGTTGGATGGGGTGGAGGTTCAGGGGGGGCGGTCAGGAGACAGGGAGCGGGGGGGGTTAGATAGGGGGTGGGGTCCTGGAGGGTCGGGAGGGACAGGCAGAAGGGGGTTTGGATAGGGGGTGGAGTCCTGGGAAGGGCAGTTAGGGACGGGGGTCCTGGGAGGGGGAAGTCAGGAGACAAGGAGTGGCGGGGGGGTTAGATGAGTCGGGGGTCCCGGGAGGCCTGTCAGGGGGCAGGGGTGTGGACAGGGGTCAGATAGGGGACAGGGAGCAGTGGGGGTTGGATAGGGGGTGGGATCCCGGGAGGGTTGGTTAGTGGTGGGGGGTCCCGGGAGGGGGCGGTAAGGGGACAAGGAGCAGATGGGGTTGGATGGGTCGGAGGATCTGAGGGGGGCAGTCAGGGGGAGGGAAATGTGCGGGGGCCAGACTGTTTGCGGAGGCACAGCCTTCTCTTCCCGGCCCTCCATACTGTTTTGCTACCCCGATGTGGCCCTCAGTCCAAAAAGTTTGCCCACCCCTGCCCTATACCATTCTCTTGGGAGACTTGAAGGGGCTCCGCCATGGGGTAGGCAGGAGGGTTAGCCCTCAAATCAGCTATTCCTCACAGATGTTCCAATCCAATGCAATTTGTGACCAGTTATTACTTCTGATATCAGTTTCCCTAAACAAGAGCTTTCTCCCTCCCTTCATATCTGCTATTTCTGATTTATCCTGCACTGAAGTCATAATCTTATCTGTGTAAAATCAGACTTTTGCAATGGAAGGAAGGCAATACCAGAAATTCAGTGTTGTGGCCCTGATCCTTTGGGGCTCCTTTCCGTACTAGTGAATTTGATTGCAGGATCAGAGGTTTGTCTTCATTATTGACTCAAGTAAGAAATGAACTACCAGGAATCCCTTGTTTAGCATCACATGTTTACAATCCATGGGTCTGATTCTCTTCTCACACCATTGTAAATCAGGAGTAACTTAACTGAAGTCAGTGAAGCTAAATCTCTAATCTTCAAAGGGATCTAATGAAGTGTGGAATCCTACTGATGGACATACAGATCCAGCAGTATAGATCACTTTGTTGACTGGATACTAACACTGGTATAAATGAGAGAAGAATCAGATCCCACATATATTGATGAAATCTAACAGTTTGTCTTTAGTCTACAGAAACCTGAAGTATGTTTTTCTAGCTTTCTGACTATTCTGGTACTCTCTTGGATCAATCTTAATTCTTGAGTGAGAAAACAATATGATATAAAACTTCAAGAAAAGAACATACTAAGGCTTCAAACTTGCAAACATTTATGCACACGTTTAACTTCAGTGGGACTACTCACATGTTTGAAACTAAAAATATATGTTTGCAGGAACAGGGCTTTGATCATTGCCAGTTTTGTTTCCGCAAAGACAGCATTCAGAAAATACTTATTCATGATTTTTTGAAATGTCAAAAGTTATTTAAGTTGAAATTCTAAACTGAAACTCTGTATTTGCCTCTTTTTGTTCCACATGTTCATGTTTACATTTATTTTTTGAGACTTTTTTACATTGCGAGAAATATCAATATTTGGACATTAACATTTGTCTGTAAATGTAAAACATGCCACTTTCTGTATTTTTTATTACAAATTCAACATTTTATTGTAAATCCCACACTCTTAGAAATTTTCACTAATTTTTATTTTTCAAAATTAAATTCCTAGTGAAAATGTCAAGTTCTTGAGTGAGCCTCTGTTCCTCAGTTTCCCCAACTGTAAAACAGAGATGATGCTACTGACTTTTGTAAAAGCACTTTGAGATCTACTGATGAATAGCACTATATAACAGCTAGGTATTATTCCTATCACAGTATATTTAAAATAAAGAGCACTACATTATTGGTTAACAAAATTTTACAGTTCATTTTATTCTGTTCCAACCCATAAGATACCCTGTCATTCCACAAATGAAGGCCCAAGTCAGTCTTTTTTTTAAAATCCAGTTTAAAATCAATAAGAAGTGAATGAGTATTTGTAATCAAGATGCGATTAGCACTCAGTATAAAAGTAGAAAAAGTACCTCAGTAGCCCATTCCTTCTTTTCGTCCATTTGTTTCTCAACCAATCTGTCCATTTTTTCTTTTGTCATTTCCAGAGTATGTCTATAATATTCTTTCAAAAGCAAAGCAGAAGCCATTAGGTCACACTGATTCCCTCTGCAGATGATGAGATAACTGACTCTTACTATGGGACTCCACAGCCAGCATCTCTTTAGAGCATGTTGATATTGCAGTGAGGATGTGAGCGTAGCACAGGAAAGTGTACAATGCTAGGTATACTCTAGCTAGCATGGGTAACAAGAATAACATAGATGCGGAGGCACAAGCTTCAACCTGGGTTAGCAATGCAAATAAAAACCCTAGAGGGAGTCAGAGTATGTACCCAGGTGGCTAGCCCAAGCTCCCATCACCACCAAGTTCTGTGCTTCGTATAATTTTATATCCTATATAGAAAGGCTACATATACACTATGAGCTAGGAATGTGCTTCCTGTGCTTATGTACACAGACTTGTGATAGCTCAGTGTAGCCCTGTTCTCACAGAAAACAGCAGGAGAGGCGTGCAAACCCAACTGAAAAGGGTGAGTACATACTTGGAACTGCTCAGCCATGCCTCCACTATGTATACTCACTCTAGGTCAATGAAAGGATTAGTACATGTACATGAGCAGGGGAATCACACGCTTAGCTTGTTGTGTAGATATAGTCTTAGACTTTTGTAAGGCTTTCACTTCATATTGCTCGACATTCTGATGAAAGAATTGGCACTATACAGTATTAATAGAGCACACGTTCAATGGATTAAGAACTGGCCAACTGACGAATCTCAAAAAGTAATAGTCAATGGGGAATCATTATCAAAATCTTAACTTTGGTTCCCAGAAAGATAATGGAGCAAATAAACAAGCAATCAATTTGTAAGCACCTAGAAGATAATAAGGTGATAAGAGACAGTCAACATGGATTTGTTTCGAACAAATCCTGTCAAACCAACCTAATATCCTTCTTTGACAGGCTGCCAAGCCTTCTGGATACTGGGGGTGGGGAGCAGTAGATGTGATATATCTCGACTTTAGTAAGGCTTTTGATACTCTCTCTCATGATCTTCTCATAAGCAAACTAGGGAAATATAGCCTAGACCAGTGGTTTTCAACTTTTTTCATTTGCAAACACCTAAAAAATTTTGAATGGAGGTGTGAACCCCTTTGGAAATCTTAGACATAGTCTGTGGATCCCCAGCGGTCCATGGACCACAGTTGAAAACCAATGTTCTATGGTAATGACAACCTTCGCAGACCCCTTAGAAAACCACCAAACCCACTGTAAGGTGGGTACACAACGGTTTGGAAAACCAAACTCAGTGAGTAGTTATCAATGGTTCACAATCAACCGGAAGGGCATATCACAGTGGTGGGCAAACTTTTTGGCCCGAGGCCTCACATCTGAGTATGGAAATTGTATGGCGGGCCATGAATGTTCATGAAATTGGGGGTTGGGGTGCAGGAGAGGCTGATGGCTCCGGCTGGGGGTGTGGGCTCTGGGGTGGGACCAGAAATGAGGAGTTCAGGGTGCGGGAGGGGGCTCCGGGCTGGGGCAGGGGTGCGGGGGGTGGGGGGTGAGGGCTCTGGCTGGGAGTACAGGCTTTTGGGTGGGGCTGGGGATGATGGGTTGGGGGTGCAGGACAGCGCTCCAGCCTGGGACCAAGGGGTTTGGAGGGCAGGAGGGGGATCGGGGCAGGGAGTTGGGGTGCAGGAGGGGGTCAGAGGTGCAGGCTCCAGGAAGCACTTAACTCAAGCAGCTCCCGGAAGCAGCAGCGTGTCCCCCCTCCAGCTCCTACACGGAGGTGCAGCCAGACGGCTCGGCACGCTGCCCCATCCGCAGGTGCCGCCCCTGCAGCTCCCATTGGCTCCCAGCCAATGGGAGCTACAGAGCCCCTTGGCTGACCCTATGCATAGGAGCCAGAAGGGGGACATGCCGCTGCTTCCGGGAGCCACACAGAGCCACAGCACATGCGGACCGGGGCAAGCCGCCAGCTGGACTGCCAGAGCGGGGCAAGCCCCAGACCCCGCACCCTGGCAGGAGCTCAAGATTAAATGTCTAAAATGTCTGAAGGGCTGGATGTGGCCCCTGGGCCCTAGTTTTCCCACCCCCAGCATATATAGGTAGGGTCCTGCACGGATCTGTTCTGGGGCCGGTTCCAGTCAATATCTTCATACATTATTTGGATAATAGCATAGAGTGTACACCTATACAGTTTGCGGATGACACCAAGATGGGAGGAGTTCCAAGTGTTTTGGAGGACAGGATTAGAATTAAAAATGATCTTGACACACTGGAGAAACGGTCTGAAATGAATAGGATGAAATTCAAGAAGGACAAATGTAAAGTTCTACACTTAGGAAGGAACAATCAATTGCACAAATACAAAATGGGAAATGACTGACAAGGAAGGAATACTGCAGAAAAGGATTTGGGGGTTATAATGGATCACAAACTAAATATGAGTCAGCAATATAATACTGTTGCAAAATAAGCAAATATTATTCTGGGATGGATTAGCAGGAGTGTTGTACACATGACACGAGAAGTAATTCTTCCACTCTACCGAGCAGTGAGAGCCTCAGCTGGAGTATTTTATCTGGTTCTGGGCACCACACTTTGGGAAAGAGGAGGACAAATTGGAGAAAGAGGGACGATCAGCGAATTATCTCAAGTGCCTATACACAAATGCAAGAAGCCTGGGAAACAAGCAGGGAGAACTGGAAGTCCTGGCACAGTCAAGGAATTATCATGTGACTGGAATAACAGAGACTTGGTGGGATAACTCACAAGACTGGAGTACTGTCATGGATGGATATAAACTGTTCAGGAAGGACAGGCAGGGCAGAAAAGGTGGGGGAGTTGCATTGTATGTAAGAGAGCAGTATGACTGCTCAGAGCTCCGGTATGAAACTACAGAAAAACCTGAGAGTCTCTGGATTAAGTTTAGAAGTGTGGGCAACAAGAGTGATGTCGTGGTGGGAGTCTGCTATAGACCAACGGACCAGGGGAATGAGGTGGACGAGGCTTTCTTCTGGCAACTAACGGAAGTTACTAGATCGCAGACCCTGGTTCTCATAGGAGACTTCCATCACCTTGATATCTGCTGGGAAAGCAATGCAGCAGTGCACAGACAATCCAGGAAGTTTTTGGAAAGTGTAGGGGACAATTTCCTGGTGCAAGTGCTGGAGGAGGCAACTGGGGGAGAGCTTTTCTTGACCTGCTGCTCACAAACCGGGAAAAATTAGTAGGGGAAGCAAAAGTGGATGGGAACCTGGGAGGCAGTGACCATAAGATGGTCAAGTTCAGGATCCTGACACAACAAAGAAAGGAGAGCAGCAGAATACGGGCTCTGGACTTCAGAAAAGCTGACTTTGACTCCCTCAGGGAACTGATGGGCAGGATCCCCTGGGAGAATAACGTGAGGGGGAAAGGAGTCCAGGAGAGCTGGCTGTATTTTAAAGAATCCTTATTGAGGTTACAGGGACAAAGCATCCCAATGTGTAGAAAGAATAGTAAATATGGCAGGCGACCAGCTTGGCTTAACAGTGAAATCCTTGCTGATCTTAAACACAAAAAAGAAGCTTACAAGGAGTGGAAGATTGGACAAATGACCAGGGAGGAGTATAAAAATATTGCTCGGGCATCCAGGAGTGAAATCAGGAAGGCCAAATCACACTTGGAGTTGCAGCTAGCAAGAGATGTTAAGAATAACAGGAAGGGTTTCTTCAGGTATGTTATCAACAAGAAGAAAGTCAAGGAAAGTGTGGGCCCCTTACTGAATGAGGGAGGCAACCTAGTGACAGAGGACGTGGAAAAAGCTAATGTACTCAATGCTTTTTTTGCCTCTGTCTTCACGAACAAGGTCAGCTCCCAGGCTACTGCACTGGGCAGCACAGCATGGGGAGGAGGTGACCAGCCTTCTGTGGAGAAAGAAGTGGTTCGGGACTATTTAGAAAAGTTGGACGAGCACAAGTCCATGGGGCCAGATGCGCTGCATCCAAGAGTGCTAAAGGAGTTGGCGGATGTGATTGCAGAGCTATTGGCCATTATCTTTGAAAACTCATGGCAATCGGGGAGGACCTGGATGACTGGAAAAAGGCTAATGTAGTGCCCATCTTTAAAAAAGGGAAGAAGGAGGATCCTGGGAACTACAGGCCAGTCAGCCTCACCTCAGTCCCTGGAAAAATCATGGAGCAGGTCCTCAAGGAATCAATTCTGAAGCAGTTAGAGGAGAGGAAAGGGATCAGGAACAGTCGTCATGGATTCACCAAGGGCAAGTCATGCCTGACTAATCTAATTGCTTTCTATAACGAGATAACTGGTTCTGTGGATGAGGGGAAAGCAGTGGACATGTTGTTCCTTGACTTTAGCAAAGTTTTTGACACACAGTATTCTCCCACAGTATTCTTGCCAGCAAGTTAAAGAAATACGGGCTGGATGAATGGACTATAAGGTGGATAGAAAGCTGGCTAGATTGTCGGGCTCAACGGGTAGTGATCAATGGCTCCATGTCTAGTTGGCAGCCGGTATCAAGCGGAGTGCCCCAAGGGTCGGTCCTGGGGCCGGTTTTGTTCAATATCTTCATTAATGACCTGGAGGATGGCGTGGATTGCACCCTCAGCAAGTTTGCAGATGACACTAAACTGGGAGGAGAGGAACATATGCTGGAAGGTAGGGATAGGATACAGAGGGACCTAGACAATTAGAGGATTGGGCCAAAAGAAATTTGATGAGGTTCAACAAGAACAAGTGCAGAGTTCTGCATTTAGGACAGAAGAATCCCATGCACCGCTACAGACTAGGGACCGAATGGCTAAGGCAGCAGTTCTGCAGAAAAGGACCTAGGGGTTACAGTGAACGAGAAGCTGGATATGAGTCAACAGTATGCCTTTGTTGCCAAGAAGGCCAAAGGCATTTTGGGATGTGTAAGTAGGGGCATTGCCAGCAGACAGAGGGATGTGATCATTCCCCTCTATTTGACATTGGTGATGCCCCATCTGGAGTACTGTGTCCAGTTTTGGGCCCCACACTACAAGAAGGATATGAAAAAATTGGAACGCGTCCAGTGGAG